CAATTTTCTATTAGTTCTTTGATTTCTTGAGAAAGACGAGGCCACCACACAGTCAATTTTGCAAAAGATCTACACTTTGTTATGCCTTGATGTCCTTCATGAATACTTCTTAGTACATTAGCTCTTAGAGAATTTGGTATTATAATACAACTTCCAAAGAGAAGTATACCATTTTGCTCACTTATATCTTCTCTATGATACCAGTAGGGCAATACATCCTCTGGAATCTTAGATTTTTCTGGCCAACCTTTCACACAATACTAAGACACATGTTTTAGAGTTTCATCTTTCATAGTTTCTTGATTTATTTCTCGCAACTTTTCATCCAAAACTGGTGGTAGAGTAGTGTCAATATTTTGTATATATGCAAGGATTTCCTCTGTAAGTTCCCATTCCTCTTCAGAGTTCTCTGTGTCTCGAGACAGTGCATCAGCCAAAATCAACTGTTTACCGGGCTTGTAGGTAATGTCATACGTATATCTCATCAGTCGGAGTCGTATTCTCTGAAGCCTGGGAGTAATATTGTCCAAGTCTTTTATCTTGAATATGGAGAGCAAGGGCTTGTGGTCTGTCTCAATATGCAAATGCAACCCTAAAATGAGGTGTTCAAATCGTTCACACCCCCATGCAATCGCTAGAGCTTCTTTTTCTATTTGAGCCCAATTACGTTCGGCTGATGTCAAACTTCTCGAAGCATAGGCCACAGGACGTTTAGTTCCATCTTCTTGAAGCTGAAGTAGTGCAACTCCGATACCGTATGACGAGGAATCCGATGAGAGGAAGGTTTCTTTAGACATGCTGTATAAAGCGAGACACGGTTCGGACATCAATGACAGTTTAATCTTTTCCAAAGCTTGGTCTTGATCAGGCCCCCAAATAAATTCTGGATTTCTTTGCAGTAAAGCATGTAGTGGATGAACTATGGTCGACAAATTATGAATAAACTTGGCTACGTAATTGACAACACCTAGAATTCTCCTTAGTTCTTTAACATTAGTTGGCGTCTTGAGTTTTTGGATAGCCTCAACAGGAGAGGGATCTGGCTTAATACCATTTTTAGTTACAAGATGGCCTAGTAAACTGATACTGTCATGCCGGAACACACATTTTGATCTATTAAGTGTCCAGCCCTTTTCCTGGAGCCTACACAAAACACTATGCAAATTTTTGTCATGTTCTTCCATATCTTTCCCGGATATAGTTATGTCATCGAAATGGCAAACAACACACCTTGAAGCCCTTCAAGTGATTCAGACATTTGACGCTGGAATACTTCTGAACCAGTGGAAATCCCGAAAGGATGTCGTAAAAATCTGAACCTTCCAAAAGGTGTGATGAAAGTAGTCAAATATGAAGCTTCTTCTGTTATGGGTATTTGCCAATAACCCAAGTTAGCATCTAGTTTCGAGAACACCTTAGCACCATCTAATTGTCCCAGAGTGTAGTCTACAGAAGGCACAGGATATAGTTCTCGTTTAACACTCTCATTAAGTTTAGTGAAATCCACGCAAAGTCTTATTGAATTGTCCTTTTTAGGGACAATGACAAGAGGTGAACACCAGTCAGTCGGAATGTCTACTCTCACGATAACACCTTTATCCAACATTGCATCCAGTTCTTTTTTTACAGCATCTTTATAGGGTAGGGGAACACGCCTTGGAACTTTGAGAGAGTACGGTTCAGCGTTTGGCTTTAATTTTATATTATAATGAGCTTGTGTATCACCAAGACCGCTGAAAAGTTCAGGGTATGATGTAAAGGGATCAAATGAACCAGTTGAGTTGACTCGAAACATCCTTTTAACTAGACCCAATTTTTCACTAACTTCGTTGCTCAAAAGGGTTCTATCAGCACCAGATATTACATAAAACTGAGACTTACAATATTGATTCTTGTACTGGATTGTACCCTCGAATACACCTAAGATATTGAGGACAGATCCGTTATCCGTTAGGCCCAATTAAAACTTTGTTACTTGAATTTAGTGGGTGCATAAAAAATTTCAACTTATAAAGTGATTGGGGCAAAACACAAACGTCAGCTCCAGTGTCTATCTTAGCTTGAATACATACTCCATTTAGTTTAACTTCAGCTGACCATTTTGCTTTAGGACTCTTTTGAGGATTAATAGACCCCACAAATTTGTCATTCTTAATAACTTCATCTTGAAGAGGATTTGAATTTATTTCCTTGACATTTTTGAACTGGCAACATTTAGCAAAATGGCCCTTCCTGTTACAGTTTCGACAGAAAATATTCCGGGCAGGACATTTTGGTCGTTCATGTTGAGCGTTACCACACCACTGGCATTGATTGTAGTAATTGTTACTGGACGAATTGGAATCAACTGGAGGTTTCTGATTAAATTTAGTGCCCCAAGTCCTTGAAGTGACTTTATCTGCAGTTAGTGCATGTTCAGAAGACCTGGACCTCATGAATGATTGTTGCATTTTAACCGATTCGACTTGCTTAACATTTGAGACAGCAGAATTAAGTGTTGGATCTGCATTCTAGTTTTTTCAGATAAACTTTTGTCTCTAATCGCTACAACAAGTTGATCTCGTATAGCCTCATCTTTATAAGAAGCAGGAAAATCGCTTATTCTAGCTAAGCCATCTCATGAAGATCATGAATCAAACTCTCAACACGTTCTTCCTCATGTTGAACCCTAGAATGAAACATGTACCTCTCATAGATTACATTTTTAGAAGGAGCGAAATATGTATCAAATTTTGAAAACAGTCTTGAAACTTTTACTTTCCTCAGATGTCAAAGTAAATGATTCAAATATGCTTTTGGCCTTTTCGCCCATCATATATAGTAAGGTGTTTACCTGATATGGTTCGTCTTCATTGGTGAGCCCAGATACCGCATGAAAGCGCAAGAAACGGGATTTCCATTTAGACCAGTTTTCTCCTTTAAAATCAAGATGTTCTGGGGAAGGAACACTAAAACCTTTCATCTTTATGTACTGTATTGCTAAAACAATAAAAAAAACCCGCTGCCACCATGTAGTGTTATCGTAAGTTAAATTAAAATATAGTTTAATAAGACAAATACTTTATTAGGTAGCTTTTACAATAAATCAAGATCCAGAATGTTTACCAACAAAAACTAAACAAATAATATTCTAACACCATATGTTTTTAAACACATATGAATAACAACACAAAAACTACTAGGGGACCGAGCTTTTCTCAGATTGAATTCAGCATTAAATTTATTATATAAATTAATTAGTTAAATTAAAGATATTGACGGTAATCAATAGGACCACACTTAGATGATACAAAGAATACATTTTTAAACACCACACCTTTATAAATACATAGATAGATTGCAATAAAAATAACCTGTATCAGCTGCTGTTTATAAACTGCGGCAATAAAAAGGTATTGACTATAACATGGGCACTTTCAAGGGCTGCAGGGCAGAAACTCGATTTTTCTCAGCCTTGTGACCAACTGCAATCGATTCCTCGTTGCCAAACACCCTGTAATAAACCAAAAAATTAAAAATCCTTGGAGGAAAATAAATTTTGTCCATACACGCGCTTTTTTTTAGAGTATAGGATAGGATGTGTATTTTGAGTTTGTAATAAAGAGCCCAAACACAGTGAAAATTGGTAAAATGATGTAAATAATTTTATTAACCTACTCCTGAGGCACAGAGAGTATAAGGCCTTAAACCCATCTATTTCGTTGTCTCTGCCAAATATTGATCTAAGAAATTTTTGCTATAGCAAATAAGCTTCAAACGTTCAAACAAACAAAGATTCTGGAAAACCCTAGACATCTGGGAAGATTAGTTGTGGTCCATTGATTATGCAACAAAGATAAATTGAAGGTCTATTCATATTTAATGGGTGCAAAGGTGCGAAACCCAATAGGTCAGTTTTGGTATTACTAAATACACTTTGGTATTACAGACTATGTAAACAGATAATGTAACTCTGCTGTCAATTGCTACATTTCTGCATTCCAAAATAGTGAGTATACACAACTCCATTTCGTTATTCTTACAAATATGCTGCTAGTTTCTTAAATTCAATAATATATTTGATAAGCTTTAATATGATTTAGGTACAGTATTTAGCTATTATCTATCAGCAAAATGTTGAATAAGAGTACCATACTATAGCAAGATTATCAACAGTAAAACATATTTCAGTGATTCCTCAGTGTTAAGTCCAAACATAGTTTTACAAAACTCACTTGTTTAAAATTGTCAAGTCTAGATGTAAAATATTCTCCAAAAGCTAAAGTTTGGATTAAATAGAAATCTAAAAATGTAATATGCATTACAATACATTTTATAAAATTATTAAAATCAGTATCTATATTTTTGAGGGTTATAGAACAAAAATTGAAATGTACAACATTTAAAAAATTGGGTTTTAGATGGATGCGAAGGATAAATACATCTATTTAGTTTTATACATTTATATTGTTCATTGAACAAGAGATAAAACAATGAAGTAATGCCTGACGTTGCTTCAAAATTGAACAATAATACATGAAATTCAAAATTAAAATAATAATAATGAACATAAATAAAAAAAACATAATTCTTAATTTTTAGCTCAATTGCATTGTAATCTACTAAAATAAAAAATGTAATTTCGGCTGTTTTTTTTAACTTGGGAATTTTTTTACACTTACTTTTGCTCCAATTGACATTTTTTACAAAAATAATTATGTCGTTAGTGTGTTTTTTGTGAAAGGATCAATTTCTGTAAAACTTGCATAATTTTTTTATTTCAACAATGGTACAATCCATCCCAACACTTCGAAAAGGTGTATTCACAAAGCTAAAGAAGATATGTAGGCCTATCAAATCAACAAGTTGTAGAAAAATGTATATTTTAACTGGAGCTAACCACGACAACCCCCTCCAAAAGCCAACTAAAAATACAATGCAGTTAGTGTTTGAACTCTGGCGACGTCGTTATGCGAGTGTTATTGGCTATTCAGATTCAGAAACTACTTTGACCGCATCGAGCATACTATACAGTGCCGGTGAATGCAGTGGTGACTAGCAAAGGTTCGACATTCGACAAGTCGCTTGTGTCAGTAAGTGTTAAACTTTTGTATATCAAGTTGTTTGTATTGGTAAACAATGTTTACGAATGATATAAATACGAATCATTTCTACGAACTGCAATAATATAATTAATTAACACCAAAGACTTGACTTTTAAGTTTCTTAGGCTACAGTAGTAAACGAGTTTAAAATTCAAGACACATTCCCGGATTCGAAAAAAACACGATATTGCACTCTTTGTCCGCTTAAAAACATTAGTTATCACTAAATTACTCAAACTCGATAACCTGGGGTACCAATAAAGGATTAGGAAATATAATATCCCGGTAAGAAAAACGTCGGTCGGGCCACATTGTCTGAGTTCTGGCCCTTCAAAAACATAGACAAGTAAAGAAAACCTGGAAATTGTATTGTTGTAAACTTTGAGGTTATGGTTGCTAGCCAACGTCAACAATGTAGGCTATATTGGAGAGCATTTACAGTCTGTACGTTATTGTTCTGTGTGTTTTAAGAGTTAAGTTTTTGCCAAATTTAGCATGTTATACAATATCTATCAAGAAGAAAACTACCCGTTTTTGTTTTCGGCATCCATTTCGCTAATGTCAGTCATCATGAAACACAAAACAGCTGCCATTGGGGGAAAATACATTCGTAAAACAGCTGACTCTTAATGCGGTAAAAACAGTGCTCATTTAAAATGTGTGTGTGTTTTCTATTATTTAACTGCAGGCTGTCTTTAGAGAACATTTTATTAAAAAATACTTAAATATCTATTGAATCCCAATAGGATCGATAAAAAAAATCTTTTCTCATGTTTATTCTGTTAAAAGCTTAAAATACTAAATACGAAGCACACGTATTTAAGGCACTTAATATGGTTTTTTAATTGTGATAAAAAAAACTTTGAGAATTACACAGGGTTAATAATAATCAGTAGGGCTTGTAGTATGTCTTCAGATCACATTCTTTCACATAGTTTTAATGTTGCTCAATATGTATACTTATAGTACTATTTAGTTCAGTTAAAATGTGACATATTAAGGTAACCAACAACACATAGTTATTGAATTCATTGTTATCACATATGCATACATAATTAACACAGTAATACATATTTATCAAGTAATAACTAATAAAATAAATTATTGTTTAAACGAGATTATACATCCTTTGTTTGTATAAAATAACATACGAAATTTGATGACAATGATTACAAGTGTGCATTTCAAGGTGTTCTCTTCGCATTTATTGCGTTATAGATTAAACGCTAAATACTTCACGTGTAGAAATCCAACTTGTCCTTGATAAACTATAAAGCCGCCGCCAACCATTTGCGTTATCACTTTGATAAAGCGTAGGCATGACTTTTACGACTGAATGATCATTTTATTTAACTTTGCAGTTTTGCAGAGAAATGCTACAATTTAAACATTGAATATTTAATGCATGTAAAGATAAAAGGAATTGGAAATAAAAATGTTTGTGGTAACACCCAAAGTAAGACAAGCAGACTCCTTGCACAAATTTGTTATTTTAACTAGCCAGTTTTGTAACACTATGCTTTGCATTAAGTACTATGGAAATGATCGATCTTGCTGTTATATCTGCATGCACAAGCCATCTGACAGATTCTAAGTGCAAGCATGTCTTTACTGTGTGATAAGTGAATGTGAAAAAATGCAGTTGTTGAATGTAAGAGCGCTGTACTTGAATCGCCACTATCTTTTCACCATTATGTTCATAATTGCATAGTATTTCTTTTTGAACTGCAATCTCAGAAGCTGTATATGATTTCTCAGCAATCGCTTTTTCTTTTCTCTTTATCTACAGTGTAGTAGTGTAGTTATATCCATTGAATGTTTTTATAGCAAATTGTTGAGTTGATAGCCATAATTGGCTTTACCTAAATTATTAGTATATGTAGATATAAGACTTCTCTCTAACACAATGTTTTCTCAGATGGTCCATGCCTCGCCATGGCAGTGGTGTCTAGGGCAGGTCGACCGTTGCTACAGCTGATGAAATCCAGCATCTGCAACTCAGTTAACTTTACTACTCCTTGTAGACACCAGGGTACGTCAAAGTATCACAATTACTTAAATCAATAATCTACTAAAACAACTAAAATAACCACAATAACCAAACCAATCATGACTCAACAGCATTAGCACAATCAGTGCCTGGTAAAGCTCCTAACCTACATGTTAGAAACCAATATCATTTTCCAACCAACTATGCCATACCCAACTATACCCAACTCAGTATTTGTAAACATTACCCCAAGGAAGAGGACTTAAGTCCTACAACAGCCCAGTACTGTAATACCATACACTCCATGCCGTGATGCAAATTCACTATCACTAAAAATAGGTTACGTGAAGTCAGAAGTAATACAAATAATCGTATTTAAAAATTAAATTTACTTTTTATAGTCCATCAATTTTAAGACAGATTTCTCTGTGATCTTAAAAGCATTGTTCGACATAAATCAGCTGTTTTGCATTGTTGTAATGGTATTTAATATTTTCATTAGTTTATCAGGATCATTGGGTCTAATGCGGTTATTTTCTTATCACCAATCGACTGCTAAATGCCCATATTTTTGCAAAATTGTGAAGTGGAGTCCTACAAGTCAACAACAGTAGTCCTGCAGCACATGTGCGTTGCAGTGTTGCTCTTGATAGGTTGAAGGCACCAACTAAAATTTAAAATACTGTACTTTAAATGCTTACATCTCAATCTCACAGTATTGAAAGAATTAGAAAGATAAATTATTGGTTACCTATCGAACTATTCAATTTATTCTATATTTCATGAGCTGACGTATAAAACTAACGATGTAATCATTTATCGATACGATGGTTTCTGTCTAGTGATTAATCTGGCAAATGATTATCAAACCACAAGCTTGACCAATAGTTTTATTAAATTTCTTTTGAAAACTAAATTATAAAAAATAAAAAAAATCATATCAGCAAGTTCATGAATGACACATTGAAAAAAATAGACGATCCATACGAGTGTAAATCAACATTGTGCAAAATATATAGAATATCTTGCTACCGTAAAGAAAATTTCATTTAAGAATGTATGTAGGCCTACTATACGAGTACTAATGGCTGGGGATGTGAGTTGCGTAAAGAAATGGTATTTGATTAAGACACATACTTTTTTCATGTTATTGTATATAATTATTGTAATCATAAAATGTATTTGCATAGCATTATATATATATGTTCTATATTTATTAATCTGGTTCTGATTAGGCCTACTATCCAATAATTTTCATACATGCAAATATTGTAAAATTATGATTTTGCCGTAAATAAAAAAAATAAATCAGCATTGGAGACAGAATATGGGTTAGAATTATTTTTAACCAAAGATACTAATTTGTATTGTTGTTCTTTTCAATTTGTCATCATTATATGCTAAATAATTACAGTACTGATTAAACACATACAGAATAAAATCTAGATTTGAACATTTAAAACCTCAGAGTTTTAGGAAAGCAGCGACTTTCGCAATACTTCCACAAATCCATTCATAAGTACCAAGGTTACTAAGTGGTGCCATAGATAAAAAATACCGTTTAATCTATGGTGGTACTGATTTTACAAAAAAAAAACATTACATTAAATTTCATGTTTTATCGATGAATTTGACTCTTGACCTTATCTCAATCTGCTATAGAACACGTCGAGTATACATTAGACCCACTCAATTTTCCCTATACGTTCATTGTTTATCCATCGACACGTTATCAGCTGCCGGAAGACTTCAAAAAGATAAGATAACTTGCCTTTTAAGCCTCTCATGCGACCAGAGTAACTTGCATCAAATAAACAGGGAGACATTGCTAAAGTTTGCTGTAGACCACCTAAACGTCTTATAAGGGCAAACTTTGCTAAAATTGAAAAAAAAAATAAAGGATTCACTGCTAGAACGTATGCAATTAGTAGGGCGTTAAAATTGTTGAAAATGGCTAGATTTGCAACCATACGATCGGTATTCATAGGCAGAGCAAAAAAAGTAAAAAATAATGAAAAGTACAAGAAAAGTTATCCATACGCACGGAATACAAGAAATAGGCTAAGAAACGTCTATAAATGATCGAAATGATAGGTTTTCCATCATAACACGAAATTCGCTAAATATGCTAAGAAATGCTGGTTGGATGGTCGAAAATTACTTGATTGTATAAGGCCTTGATTTCATGGCTTAAAAAGTTGCTAAAATGGTTGAAAATTGAAAGGCCAAAAGAAGGTGAGGGGATTTGGGTAAAATTGTCGAAACACATATTGACAGAATACACTAGTTGGTATAATTTTTGAAAAATACTATCAAAGTGAAACAAATCAAAACTGAATAGTTAAACGGAAATAAGAGTATCAATGGTATATTGACGCCTTCTAAAAACTATCCAACACAGACAATATAGGCCTACAATTGACGGAAAAGAACATCATTGTATCTAAAACTGCAACACATAAATTATCATTACGGAAACATATTGGTACAAGGCACAGATATCGTACACGTACTAGATTTCTGTGTACAAGGCGACGACCACATAATAACAATATTGCTATTCTGTGTTCACTAATATAAGTACTGTGTAAGAGTCAAAATCCATTAAAATGAGTTTAATTTATCTCAACAAAAGGTTTTATGGACGAATTTCGTTGGGTGACAAAAAACTCGATCATTTACGGATTGCAGATAGTATTAGAAACTCAGTTATTACATTTCGTAAGCAAATATAACGTTGAAATCTTTGTACATGTTTGCACGTGTGTTAATCTAACTGTTTTATAATTTCATCAGCAATATAAGAAATTTCATAAAAATGTTACAGTATTTTAATAAATAACTCCTAACTTTGTAATTCACGAAATTGTGTTAGTTTCTGTTTGCAATAGGGGGATTCTTACGTAATTGACATAACTTAACATGGTACAATGATTAGAATCAAGTTGCTGTGAAAAAGCAAGTTCTTCACAATGCCTGTAAAACAAACTTCAAAGATAAATGTTAGTTAAATAAAAAAATCAAACACATAAAGTGAGCCCCTACTTTAAAGAAAATGTATAAAAATTGCCATGTTTTGACTGGATGGGTATAGCAATTAATTAATTTGTCATTTTTCAGAATCATTGAGTGAGGCTTTAACAAGAATTACAAAGCGAGTATCTTCCTCCAGTGCAATCAATTCCAATAATGAATTCTTCGGAAACCTCATGAAAAATGAGGTAAGATAAATAGCGTAGTGTGACAACAAGTAGGTCTACAGTTAGTAATAAATAGTAAAAAATAATAAAACACTATCTTTTGAAAAAAATCAACTTCCATATCTTTACGAGTTCCAGATCATGCCCATAGTATCTGTGAAACAGTCCCAATCTTTAGATCACTAAGCATAAACCATAAACGTTTTCAATAAAAATATATATTGCAACGGGATTCAGCTCTTCAATATTTCCCGAATCATCTAAAAATTGAATGAACCCTTGTAATTAATTAAAAACCCCTTAGAAAATTAAAAAGTACTATGAAGCTATTGCCGTGTTTTTGTTTATTGCTGAGTGGCATTCATGGACATTATGAGTGAATTTCTTTAAGAAGAAGTTCTTCAAATGTGGGCTAAATGGTATAAAAGTAGGATAACATAAATCATTTGTATTTTACATATGTCATATAACATTGTACCTACGAGAATCTGGTTGAAAGATTACTTATTAACTTATTACAGTATACAGCGTTGAACCTACGAGATAAATGTACTTTAGTGAATATAGTTTTTGAACAGTGGCAGACTGCAAGTAACCCAACCATTAGCAGAGTTTGTGATGATCTTGCAAATTTCAATAAATTAAATAAGACGATGGGTATAAGAGCAAAGCTTAGCAATCTGCAATTCTATAGACTTTAGACTGACGTATAAATTCCATATACTGTACAATGAGAATATGTAGAAAGTAGTTTGATCATAGAGAGTATCATTTAGTTGAACAAATGTGCTCATGCCATAATGAGTAAGAACATCAGAGTTTATTCATTTAAATTTTCCAACTATGATAAATAAAATAATTTATCCTTTCAGTTTGCAATGATAAAAGAATTAGGTGTTAAGGAAAGTTAGAGTGTTTTAAAGCCTTTACTGTTTCGATCAACCATTTTTTAATACAAAGAAACGTCTTAAACACTTAATGACATTTGTTGTTAAATGTAGTGCTTATTAAAAAAAAATTAAACCAACTGCATATTTTTAAACTACGGATTTTATAAATAATAGTAAATAAAGATCTGTGTGTGATTACTATGTGAACTCAATTCAAAGATGTCACCAAGCATAAAGTCAAAAGTCAAAAAGCTATCTACAGTGTGACCTGTCTCAATCTAATCAAGACAAAACATCTTTGTCAACACCACCATTGGACGACCTCACACAAACTAAATCTCGATAAGTTAATTTGTTTTCTGCTCAATTAAGGGGTCAAATAGTTAACATCGGTTTATCGCTTTCATAAAAACGCGGGCGTTGTAATTCGTAATCGATCACATGTTCGGCGCATGCAAAGATCTACGCGCTACCTATCGACGAACCCTGCAAGCTTTAGTTCGCCGGTTCGCCGCACCGAACTCTTTTGCAAGAGCCGAGCCCCGACCCTACAAAATATTTTCTCCAGTTCAGTTCGGGAGCCGGTGCAACGTTTATGTGTGTCCGTAAATACCGTTGCAACGCCGGCTTTTTAATCCATCCTGAAAAGTGCAATTCCCTATTGAACTGTCTTTGTTGATTCTTGGTTACGTCAAGTCCACATGTGTCAAAACAGCTGTTACATATGCTGAAATTGTTTGTTTTTCTCAGTTAAATCGTGTTTTGTAGGCATTGTTAAGTCAGAATTTTTATAGTAAATACAAATTATTTCAGTTTATTGTGTGTGAAGGTGTATCAATTTGGACACAAGAATTAAGTTTCTGTGATTTTTTCTGCTGCTGCAGTTTTACATAACCTGGTTAGTTACTTTTTAATAATTATTTATTATTTGTCCTTACTTAACCTTAAAATTCAGAGTTTTTTATTACATTGATATTGATAAGGATGCTAATTAACTATTGTACAGATCATTATTCGGGTATTTCATCTCTTAGATTACAGTAAGCTACCTAAACGTTTCAACCTTTTTAAGTGTTTGTATAGTATTGCGGTTAGTTAAAGAGCCATACACTGCAAGATGATATTTTAAGATCAGTAGTAATTACTTAGTTAGCAACTTACAATAGCCTTAATTAACTTAGTTTGTCAAGCAAAGTTTTCAGTTTAAACTTGAAAATTTAACTGCGCCACTTCTTACGTAATTTGTTTTACTTATTAAGAATTGCCTTTAAAATTGTGTTGAATGTTAACTAAGTAACTTTGTTAACTTAATTGGGTGGTTTGTACTAACTATACATAAGCTAGGGCATACAATAACAAATTAGGCCTTTTGTTGTCTCTTTTACAGGTAATTTATTGATTTAACCAAGACTTGAATAAGGATTCTGTTATTTTAGATACTCGCTTAAGTTATGCTTAAATTGATTTTACTAGATACCCTATTATATATTTCTCATCAGGCCTACCTATTTTAAATGCACCAAACCTCCAATATCATTGGCTTTCCTAAAGTTAAACTTTAGGCTTATTAGATTAGGGAACTGTGTGAACACAACGATTTAACATTAATAGAATCAATCGTCATTAAACCTCATTGTATTTATTATTTAATACAATCCCTTCGGCAGTAAGTTACTAAGAACATGGATGGATATCCGGTTAACAACAAAATTCCCATGTAACGACCCACCTAAGTTTTTGTATTTAAAGATTTAATGGTGTTCATATATAAAAGTCAGTGGGGGTTCTCTACCTAAGGTCCTTCTGATAGTCTCCATGATTGGAAATATTTTGATGGTTTTAAAGTTTAGTGTCTGCCTACATGTGTTTTCTGCGTCATACTGTTTCACTAACACCAACCCACCCACCCCTCTGCTTCATTCATACACTAAAACAGGTTTCCTTTGAAAGGGATTCAAGGTCAGTATGGGAGGGTAAGATTCTATGAACCAGGGAGTTGAACCAGCCCAAGTCCTTTAGTTTAGATCACCTGCAGAATTCTCCTACTGTGACCTACTTGTTAAATTTAAAAACTACCTATGAAATTAACATCTATACATACTGTAAGTTAGTAAGTACACATTTTTATCTAGGTTTATCGTTTTAATTTCTTGTCTTCATATTATCATATTATGCTCTCCCCAAATAAAACTCGAAGAAACAGTTTGTTTGCTCTATCTCGAGTAGGCATACGCTTCAACTTTATGATCTTGAATTTTCTTTTTTAGCCATTGAATAATAATAATATTGCCCATGGAATAAAATATGTTGCTTAATGTGTAACATCGTCAGAGAGGGGGATGGCAGCATTGGTCATGTTGCATGCCACATTTTGGTGTTACAAAGGCAGCGTGGGTGTGCAGTAGATTCTATGCCAGCTTCCATTGGTGTACCATACTCAATCATTAATTGGAAGTGCCAAGTGCCAACTACGCGTTTCTATTACAGTGACGACACGACCATGACCTTGACCGATAGCCGGTGTGGGCGCCAGTCCTGGGGGGGGGGGGGGGGGGGTAACCAGCTGACGTTTGAAGGAGTATCAGCTGACAGCTAGGGTTACAGACGCTGGAGCGAGGAGTCATTGGACTGGATTAGCGCGCTAAAAATAGCAACAGCTGAGCCGCAGACGTAGTCCCCGCGGCCCGCCTCTAGTCAAGCGCGCACCCTCAGTGGCCTCAGGTGACTTGATAATCAGGTTCCAGTTAGCAGTTTATCCATAGGTAGGTGGAGTCAACAGCCAAGCTTAGCAAGAGACTGACCTGAGCAAGAGACTGAGCCTATAAGCAGGGCAAATGCGTTGCATGCATATGCATATGTGCAGGGTTTTTTGTACCACCTGGTCTGGGGATTAAATTATAGCCTACTAAAGGTCGTCCAGTGGTCGAAAACTCGAACAAAAATATGTTATTTCTAGACTTGTCTATTTTCACCTCACGCTGTATAAAATGTCATTGGAATATTCATTTTTTGTTCATTGTTTTAATTTTCTGTTTATTTTTCGTTGTTATTTCTTCACCAGCATGGCAACCCATCAGGCCCATGTTATTTTGTTTATTTAAAATTATTTTTTGTGCTTATTCTTGAACCTGTTTTAAGTTATAAAGGAATTCTGCACATCTACAGGAAACTATCCATCTTTCATCAGTCGGCGTAGATTTTTTTCCTGCGATGCACACGAGCTGAGAAAAAAGGTTTTCAAGAAACATGCTTGCCTATTAAATAGGACTAGAGGTCGTCCCGTGGTCGAAACCCCGGCCAAAAATGTATTGTGCAAACGGGTCGCCGGAATGGTCACCCCCGGAAACATCACCCCCCAGGCTAAACGTGACGTCACGAAACCAGACAACCAGCTGGTATAAGATCTATGTCCGCGACCGGAATCGTTTCCCCCCAGGGCTTGGCAAGTAATTTATCAAAATCTAGTTGATATGAACTAATTATGATATTAATTTTAATTCAAACAAGTAGAAACGGAAAGGTCTTCCCCGGCAAGGCATCCCCTAAGTACAGTACACCCAGGAATCGTCCCCCCCTGAAACGCTACCCCTAGTAGGGCTGGGCTGCTCGGCAGCCTACCTGCTGCCCGTCCTCGTAAGTCCATTGTTCTGAGGGTCGGCCGCTCGTTCATTATTATTGTCGCTTGGACAACAGCTTTTCCACAGAAGAAAATTGCAGACGCTGTGGTGAAATATCAATCAGTAGATTTAGATGTGTATGAACTTCTAAGACAACTAAATAATGCGAGCAAAGATTGACTTTAAAAAATGATTCTTTTATACTTAATTCATAACCAACGATAATGCGTAAGGTATACATTTTTTCTGTTGCATTAAATGGTAGTTATACTTATCAACATCAGTAAACTTACCTTACACCCTATGGTAATTGGCAAGCAACACATTTGTTAAAAATAGAATAATTTCTAAATGTATTAAAAATGAATCGCATTGCCTTAGGTTTGGCCCCGATTTAATTAATAATTTGAAAATTAGAAACAGATTATTAAATAAGAATAAACATAATAATATCTTTTAGGGGATTAATCCCTTAAACTTATCGAAATAATTAATTGTTAATAATTACAAATATGTAAATGATACTATTCTAAAGGTTATGCCAAAAAGTACCTTTATTCAGAAACAGCCTAGGCTAGTTTCATATCACTGGAATAGAGTCAAAATATAATGAAAGTATAATCAAAATATCAGAATCACTTTAAATCTAGAAGAGGACTTGCAATCAGTGTTGATATACCAATAAATTAGTTTTGTTATAAGATTTATATGTTTATAAAACCTTTTTGCTACTGAAGTTTGCAAAATTATGTTTCATAATTACTAAGGGGAAAATATACGTGAGTTCAAATGTTTAATATGTAATCAAAATTTGAAATGTTGAGCTGTAAACTTGTATTACATCGCTTAAACGATAGTAACATTCGTATATACTCCAATTAATGTATCACAAAGTGCCAATTATAATTAAAAATACCCCCGACACAGCAAACCTGCAGACTAAGCGAATTTCCACTTGCCTGATTGGATTTACGCTAAAATGTCTCTGTAAAAATATCACATTTATTCCCTATTTAAATAACATAGTTCAATATATATCAATATCAATTGATATGGGGACGCCACCTAGGTGCGTATTTTAACCCAATTATGAGTGTAGAATGGTGTGAGATGATCTGTGTAGCTTTGTTACTGACTAAGATCAGCTGTTTCATTAGCCAGGACCATTTATTTAAAGCCCAATGATCAGGAACAGCTGGGTCCAGTTTTGAACCATCAAAACAGTATTAGTTTGCTGCAACAGGGAGGGTAAAAAGGTGTTTTTTTTTTTTTGTAAAATGATAATAGTTTAGTATGAAATGAATGCATTTTCCAAATTTGATTAAAATATGTATATAAACAAGCAAACTACAACAGTTGACTTATTCTAAGTATAACATGGAAATTTTAAATTTACAGATTTTTGGAATTTTCTCCGTAACCATTAGGCGCATAATTAACGCTTCAATATACTAAATTATTTGTTTTTTAAGCTCTACAAAATGGTTTATAAAGAAATTGCTAAATTTTAAGTTTTTAGTGTCAAAAATGGGAAAACCCAATTTTTACCCCATAAAACCCCCCATAAACCCCCGTACCCTTGGTTCGATCAAGCTGGTTCGCGAACTCGTTCGAATAAACGTAGGTTTACACGCTTGTACCAAATTTCATCAAATTTATGAATTTGAACGGATGGTGTTTTTGGCATCTAGGGACCTCAAAACGAAAAAGTAAATCGGTCCCGGGTCCAGGTCTTACCATGAGTACTACGGTTATAGCTTATTCCCTATAGGGGAAATTCGCTAACACAAATTTAGGATTTTGTAACAAAGTTTGGAAGACAGGTACTTAAATTGAGAATACACACAATGAGTACTAAATCGTCTATTAGGCCTATACATTTTAATTATGGAAAGAAAATACAAAAATATAACTGAATAACAATTTAATATTCTACAAAGTGTCAAGGAATTTATACAGTACCGGTACAAACTTCATTTACAATATAATTTAAAACAATAACATATATCAAAATCAAAATCAAGAGCACAAAAAGAAGAAAAAGCATAAAGATAATTTTTTTGTGTTACGCACTTTAAATTTGTGTGTTTCGTTTCTTATTCTTATTTTTATTTCTTTTTATAAATACACATTTTGCTACTGTAGTACCTTTACCTATTTGGTAGTGTTTGGACACTTCTTATATGGGAAAAGGTTGAAAAATATGTTGATAATATTTCAAATTATCAAATCAAATATTTAGTCATTTTAACTACGTAAAAAATAATGTAAGTAAATAATT